GTAGATGGTCTAAACAGGCCAATTAAAAGACAGAAATTGGCAGATTAGACAAAAAATCCAGACTCAACAATAATCTGCATACAAGAAACACTTTAAATATAAAGACACAAAACGGTTAATGGGATGCAAAAGATATGCCATGCCAACACTAGTCAAGAAAGAAGTCACGGCTATATTAATAGTAGATTTTAGAGTAAATAATATTACCAAGGATAAAAATTGTCACTTCATGATGATAAAGTGACCAGTCAATTTCATATTCATATCATTTCATAATGGTAAATATGATCAATAATAATTATAAACATTCATGACCCTAATTAACAAATCTTTAAAATATATGAAACCAAAATTTATAGAACTATAAGGAGAAAAGTCATAATTGTATAGCTGAAGGTTTCAATATCCCCTCTTGTGGTAGAACAGGTAAACAGAAAATCAGCAAGAATATAATAGACTTTGAGCAACACTAGCAACCAACTTGATCTTTGCCATTTATAGAACATTCCACACAACAAAAGCAAAATACATATTCTTCTCAAGTGCACACAGAACATTTACCATGATAGATTATATTCTGAGCCTTAAAATAAATCTTAGAGAATTTAAAAGTATTCAAGTCATACTAAATATTCATATAGTCTCCGACCGTAGTGAAATTAAATTAGAAACCAATAACAGAAATATCTCTGGAAAATCCACAAATATTTGGAAATGAAATAACATGTTTGGGCCAGGCACGGTGGCTCACACCTGTAATCCTAGCACTCTGGGAAGCTGAGGCGGGAGGATTGCTTGAGCTCAGGAGTTCGAGACCAGCCTGAGCAAGAGTGAGACCCCTGTCTCTACTATAAATAGAAAGAAATTAGCCAAACAACTAAAAATAAAAAAAATTAGCCAGGCATGGTGGCGCGTGCCTGTAGTCCCAACTACCCTGGAGGCTGAGGTAGGAGGATGGCTTGAGCCCAGGAGTTTGAGGTTGCTGTGAGCTAGGCTGATGCCATGGCACTCTAGACCAGGCAACAGAGTGAGACTCTGTCTCAAAAAAAAAAAAAAAAAAGAAATTATATGTTTGTAGGTAACCCAAGGGTCAAGGAAGAAATCAAATGGGAAATCAGACACTATTTTGAACAGAATGAAAATGAAAGTATAATGCAATACATCAGAATTTGTGGGACATTGCTAAGGTAGTATTTGTAGGGAAATTTATAGAGGTAAATACTTATATTAGAAAAGAAGAAAAGTTTCAAATTAATGATCTTAGAATCCAACTTAAGAAACTAGAAAAAGAAGAGTAAATTAGACACAAAGAAAGAAGAAAGGAAACAATAAAGATCAAAGTGTGAATCAATGAAATAGAAAGCAGAAAAATGGAGAAAGTAAATGAAACTAAGAGCTGGTTCTTTGAGAATATCAATGAAATTGGTAAGTGTCTAGCCATGCTGATGAGGAAGAAGAGAGAGAAAACTGAAATTACCAATATCAGGAATAAGAAAGTTAACATCACTTCAGGTTCTAAATGTTAAAAGAATGATAAGGGAATATCATGAACAACTTTATGGCTATGAATTTGAAAATGGAAAGGTGAAATGGACAAATTTCTTAAAAGACAAATTGCCAATGCTTATTCAAGAAGAAGAGATAACTTGGATAGCCCTATATCTATTTTTAAAAATGAAATTTTTAGTTAAAACCTTACCATAAAGAAAACTCTAGGCCCAGATGGCCGCATTGGAGAATTCTACCAAGCATTTAAGGATGAAATAAACCAAATTCTACATAAATTCTTCCAGAAATAGTAACAATTTTACATAGACTCTCAATTTATTCTTTGAGGGTAGCATTACTCTGATACCAAAACCAATGAAAGACATTGCAAGAAAACTACAAACTAATATTCCTCATGAACATAGATGCAAAAATTCAAAACCAGAATTTTAGCAAATCAAATCCAATATATAAAAAGGACACTACATCATGATTACTTGAGATTTGTCCCAAGAATGCAGGGCTAATTTAACATTCAGAAATCAACATAATTTACATTAACAAACTGGAAAAAAAAAAAAAAACAACATAGTCATCTTGTTACCAGTCTCTAAGTGGAGGTTTTTCCAAGTTCTTGATGATCCTCGGGAAAAGAATTTCAGGATGTACCACACAGGCCAAGCAAGCAAGTAACAGCTTTTATTGAAAGCAAAAGTATACTCTCAGGAGAGAGAGCGAACAGGCTTTAAAAAGAGAAACTGCACTGGAAGGAAGTGGTTGTAGACCTTTTGTAGTTTTATTAATTTAGGGGAGGAATATTCCAGACCAAGGAATTGGCTTTTATTAAGAATTTAGGTAGTAATTCCTAGAATTAGGGTCCCTCCCATTTTCATACTTTATATGGTTGTCTTGGAACTGTCATGGTGATTTCAAGGGCAGAGTAATTTTAAAACTGCAATGTAAATGACACTTTAATTATCTAAGGTTCATGTAAGGTGACAGAGATAGCTTACAAACCAGCTGAAGCTGGTTCTTGCCTGTGGATATCAGCCCCTCTAGTTAGCTTCTGCTTGAGGGTTTACTTTAACATCTTCACCCAATCTGTAAGCCCCTGCATCGTGTCTCAGCCTCTTAGTCTCCTACTCTAACAGTCCCAATAGCCACAGAAAAAGCATTTAGCAGAATCCATTCATGTTAAAAAGCTCTCAGCAAAATAGGAATAGACAGGAACTTTCTCAATTTGATAAAGGGTATTCGTGAAAAACCTACAGGTTATTGGTGAAAGACTAATTGTTTCCCCCCTAATATCATGGTGCCAATGAGAGTGGGCACAGAAATTTGGGAGAGAAAGTTGTTTTGTTTCAGACTTGAGTTTGGGACCCAACATGATATTAAACATCTTACTGGGGATGTACACAGTTATATGGATCTGGAGCTCAGAAGACAGCTGTCAAAACAGAGACTATTAAAGGTATTTTTTTAAACAAGTCTATATTTTTAAACAAGTGCCCCAGAGAAACAAAGGTGAAGAATAAGAAGGGAAGAGGATTAGGAATGGAAATGCTGAAGAAATCCAACACTTAAAACTGCTGAAGGATAGACATAGGAAGAGGAGCAAACAAAGGCCATCAAGAGCAATCATAGAGATGAAAAGGCAACTCTATGGTACATTGTAAGGAAAATCCAGTTACAAGAAAGAGGGAGGGGTTCATATAGTAAAAAGTTGAAATGGAACTTAAAATATAAGATCCTGGTGCATGCTTAGCCATAAACAGAAGTGATCATTAGAATATATTTAAATTAGGCATTATCTACTATAGATGGGATTTAGCCAATCCTTAATGCCGGTACATCACATCACATTCCGTTCTATTAGGGGTGGATGTTTTTATAGGTTGAGGCTCTCCTATTGGTTACTACATTTTTTTCTGGATTGTTCATACAGATCTACCCAGAGAACCCAGTATCCATGGATTTGGAAATTTCAAGTATTCAATTTCCAGCTCAAAAAAATGTAAGTGAAATACTTTTGAGTCTGAGGCCCACTAGGACCTTGGACCTTTTGTTTCTATGAATATTTTACTAATGAACTGTCTATTCTTTCCCAGATTAGGGAGCCCTTACCTTCTATACTGAGAAGCACATTATTTCAATAAGCCATTATTACAATTTCCTCATTTGTAAAAAGTGGGTAAGAACATCACCACTGTTATAGGATGGTTAGAATAAGGCAAGTTTTTGAGAGAAGGGTTGTCTGACTTGGCTCCTTAATACCTGAACTAGAGCCTGACACATAGCATGAGTGCAGCAAATGTTGGCTGCGTTGTAATAACTGAAGTTGAAAGACTTTGTTAACCAGAAGCTGTTCCAAGTATTACTTATTCCCCAATCCTGATTTAAGCCCCCAGGTAATCAAATTCAGAGTACTCTTCAAGGTTGACAAAGGGTAGCTGAAGGGACTGCTAGAGGGACTGCAGCCCCATCTCCACAAACAATACACATAAAAACATTGTTTGCTTGTGCAAAGCTTCATGACCAGTCCTGGCCCAGCTGCTCACCAGATTGTCACTCCTAAATCCCCTTCTTTCTGTAAATGCTGCAGCCACTCCAGAATTTTTTTTGGTGTGCTTTCATTAAATATTTATTCAGTGAATGATTGGCATCTCTCTTTTTTAAATTTATTATTTCAGAGTATTACGGGGGTACAAATGTTTGGTGACATAAATTGCTTTCCTACCGTTTGAGTCAAAGTTATAAGTGTGCCCATCCCCCAGATAGTGTGCATTGTACCCATTAGGTGTGAACTTACCCATCTCTTCCTCCCCCCTCTCACCTGCATGATTTCCAATGAATGTTATGTCCATATGTGCACATAGGTGTTGATCAATTACTTTCAATTTAATGGTGAGTATATGCGGTGTTCTTCCATTCTTGTGATACTTCACTTAGAAGAATGGTCTCCAGTTCCATCCAGGTTAATACAAGATGTATAAGTTATAGAACTTTTGAGGAACCTAAGTGATCAAATCCCACGTTGGCGTCTCTTGAGATGTGACCAGAAACTATCAAAAGCAGCCTTGGCCTCCCCAATGTCTGGCAACATGAGATAAGGCGACGCCACCAGCTAAGAGTTCGTCCAAGCATCCAGCTCTCGGGACGCCTCCTCCTGGGTGCCACCAGCCTCTCCCAGCCCTCAAAGGCAGCACGCAAACTGCCTAACAACAACTTGGCGCGGGTTTCGGTTTTTCTCCATGCGGGGGTGGGTCAGGGTGCCACAGGCCCCTCCTCCCAGGACGGGCAGAGCTGGGCTGGGCTCCGCGGGCTCCTCCCCGGTAGGGAGGGCCCGACAGAGTCGGGCGCGGGGCTGGTTCCTTCCCCCGAAGACAGGCCTTAGTTGGGGGCGGGGCCTAGCGCCGCGGGCCCCACCTCCCAGGGGCGTGTTCTTCCCCCAGAGGCGGGCTTTGCCGGCGGGGGGCGGGCATGGAGGGCGGGGCCGGGAGCTGCGGGCCCCTCCTCTCGAGGGCGGGCCGGCTTGGCGGCGGCCGCGGGGGTTATCTGCGGCTCCGCTGCCAAGCCGAACGGGCTCTGGCTCCTCCCAGTGGCCGGCCGGGGCGGAAGCAGGAGGCGGGGGTAGCGTGCGCGCTGCTGGTCTCCTCTCCCGCGGCGCTGGGGCCCGCGCTTTGCGGCTGCTGCTTCATTCGGCTGTTCTCAGGAGGCTGGCTCCTCTTCGCGCTGGGCTGCTTCTCGACCAGGCCTCCCTTTCTGCCTCGGCCCGCGGCGCCGACCCTTCCGGTACCCTCCCGCCCCGTCTCGTACTCTCGCCGCCACCACCGCGGTCCCGGCCCCGATGGCTCTGTGCAACGGAGACTCCAAGGTCAGTCTCTGGCGTGGGGGTCCCTGCCTCACCACCTCCTGGCTGAGGTGAGGCTCATGAGCAGAGGAGCCACCGCGCGGGGCTCTTCCCCGCCCCCTTCCCCCGCCAGTCCGCGCAGCCCTGCGGCCCAGGCAGCAGCGCGTCGGAGAGTCCCTGGTCGGGGCCTGTGGCGTGTTTTCTCCTCGGTATTGATGGTGCTTTGTTGATTTTTGTCTGCGTGTAGAGGTCCGGGCGTCGGGGAGGGCATCAGCTCCCCGTGCCCGCGTCGCTGGCCCCCGCCTCCCCCGCGCCACTGTGGGGCGCAGAGCCCGCAGAGCGCGGCCCGAGGGTGGGGGTAGGGAGGCGAGGGTGTGTGTGTGTGTGTGTGTGTGTGTGTGTGTGTGTGTCTGTGTGTCTGGTGTGGGGGCTTCCTCAGCCCTCACCCCCGTCCCTTCGGGAGGCTAGGGGCCTGTTGTGGAGATCCCGGGGCGCGCCGAAGGCAGGGCAGGTCAGGGCCTCCCGTGCTGCGTTCCAGCTGGGCCGGCCTCTTGTCTTCCCGCCACCCGGTTTCCCGCTCGCCCCGGTGAGGCCCGCTCCATTTCCCCACGCCAGCCTTGGGGTCTGCGGTGGCGAGGCCGGTTCTCGGCGGGACCCGCGGGGCTGCACCCCTCTAGCCCCCTTCCTCCCCGCCCAGGTCAGACTCTGGTCGAGGCCGGCGGTCCCCGGGTCGCTCACTCTGACCCCCTCCCCCCATCTTTCTTCCCCCTCCCCCCATCCTTCTGGGAGGGGAAGTATGTATGTCTAGGTCCCGCCCCTACAAGCGTGCTCTCTGTTTTACTTGCTGGTTTGTGGGGGAACCCGCTTCTCCGCCTTTGGGGTCTCTCCCTGGGACGCGAGCCGCTGCCAGCACGCCCGAGGGCTTGAGAGTCGGAAGTTCCGGGGTGCTGGAAAAGTTGCCACCTTGATGTACGGAGCTGGGAGAGCGCGCTTGGCCGCTGCTGCGCTTCTGCTCGCCTCCAACTCTTTAGATCCTTTCTCTCTCTGCTTTCGTCCCGCTTCTGAATTGGGAACCTTCACTTTCACTTTTGTGTTAAAAGTTTTCATTGGCCCGGAGTTCTTTCCGACCTTCATAAAGTCTGTTTTGCCAGCGGGAAACTGCAGTTTTAAATTGAGATTTACTTAAGAAGATGTACCTCCTCTTATACTCTGTTTATGGCCTAGCTTTAGGAAATTCGGGTATGTGGAATTCTAAACTTCGGGTGGGATTTGGTGTTCTACATCAAGTAGAACAGGCAAAATTCAGGCAAAATTTTAATTTTCTCTTACGAAAGTGGTGCCTAAGTGTCACATTTTAGTGGGTCCTCTCCATGAATAGTTGCTTAGTACCTAGTAATTATTCAAAAAGCATTTGTTGAACAAATGTATAAAGATTTTAAAGTAGCTGATAAACTCTCTTAAACCGAGGCATCTGTGGTGCTTAAATAGCTGGAGCCCATTATGAAGCTGAGTGAGACACTCACACCTTTAGTTTCTGACCTAAGAAGCAAATGTAAACCTCATTGTACAGCTTTTTCCTGTACACTAGTTGACTTGCAAAGCACTTTTCTTCTCTCTTTAATTTTGAGCCTTCCAACTCATTGGAAAGATTCATCTTCGTGCTGGTGGATGAAACAACTGTGATATTAGTACTCATACCTAATTTACAGGCATTGAAAGATACATAGTGCATTTGAGAAGAGTATTTTCACAGACATTAGTGACAGCAGAAAGTACAAGATTCAGTTTCCGAATTACTTTCTGTCTCATGAGTATGTAAGATACGATTTTTTTTTCTAAACTGGTATACGAGTATTGTTTTGCTCTACTTGGAATTTTAAAGAGAATTTTGATCAATTTGCTATATGTGAGCCTAAGGTGAATTAACTAATTTTTATTTCAAGGTCCTTTATGTTTTATAGCATAATTAAACATTTTTTTTTTTTTTGAGACAGTCTCACTCTTTTGCCCGGGCTAGAGTGAGTGCCCTGGCGTCAGCCTAGCTCACAGCAACCTCACACTCCTGGGCTCAAGCAATCCTTCTGCCTCAGCCTCCCGAGTAGGTGGGACTACAGGCATGTGCCACCATGCCCGGCTAATTTTTTCTATATATTTTTAGTTGTCCGATTAATTTCTTTCTATTTTTAGTAGAGACGGGGTCTCGCTCTTGCTCAGGTTGGTTTTGAACTCCTGAGCTCAAACAATCCGCCCGCCTCAGCCTCCCAGAGTGCTAGGATTACAGGCGTGAGCCACCGCACCCGGCCAAACATTTTTTTTTTAAAACTATGTTAACAGTTAGATATGGACTGAATTATAAGCATTTTCAAGAGGAACAATCCAGGGAATTAACTTATTTCATCAAATCTATGATTATTTTATGTATTCAGATGGGGGGGAAATCTCGACAATTAAACCATGACATGCCATTGATCATAAGAAACATTTAAAGTACAGAGATGTTTAAAAATGGGGAAATAATAAGATCTTTACAAGAAGTCCACCTGGGAATCTTGAATAGGAGTCTTATTTTCCATAGTCTACCACTGAACCACCTTCTCTCAGGAGTAAAGTACAAGTACTGTACCAGGCTTACTTTGTATATTGATTGGGCCTCTGTTTATATCCTAATTCATAAATTGAAAGTTGGGAAAGAGCTGGTTTTGATTTCTATTTCTGGTACATTTCAGTTATCGGTATTTTCTAAATTCTGTCTTTGCATTAAAGAAATTAGGGAGGGACCTAAAAGCTATAAAAGCATTTGGGCTATGTTTGTTAGTTTTATACACAGCATTTTATTTTATTTTTTTTAAGATTGAACCATCTCAGATATATACACAGCATTTTAGAACTGGAAAGGACCTTTCTGTGTTCTAACTTCCTTAGCTTTTTTTTTTTTTTTCCTCCTTCTGGGCTACTTTGGTTAACCATCCAAGCAGACTTTTCTTAGTTAAGGAGCTGATATGTTATTTAGTTAAGGATCTTATTTAATATAAACTAGAGCATAGGTGGTCAGTCATTCTTTAAAACTTTTTTGCAACTATGGGATGATAGTATTTGACATAGTAACTTTTTTCAATTTTATTAAGGCAGAGTGTTCAGATTTCTCTCTTCTGTACATTATGCATAGGAACATATGTGTCTTTCCTGCGTGTATTTCACAAATACTTTGCGTTTCTTACTGACCCAGCTTACGATGGCCTGGATGCTTTGTGTACCTTGCAAGCTGAGGAATGGCTGTGCCACAGGTGGCAGGTAGACCAGGTGGCTGGGAGGAGCAGCAACTTCAGTTATTAGTATTCCTCCCATCATCACCTAAAACTGGATAGAGTTAACTACTTTTGGTTGCCAGGGTCCACATGTACTTCATTTTATCAGGAAAGGGCCAGAAAAGAGATGTGTTATTAGTATTTGGCTTTCAGATTGAACCAGAAGTTAAAAGTGAGAACTCTGTTCACTGTACCTGCAACCCACACAACACTAGACAAAGCCATGGCAGAAAATGAAAGTATAACAAACCAATCAATCCTATCTTACTTTAGTGTAATTATTCATAATATATCGTTAAAAAGAACAACCTGAGACAAATGTTAAGCTGGGTGGAATACCAGAACAACAAATGGAAATCAGGATAGTCCTGGGCAAACAGGGCCATATGGTCACTCCAATTATAGAGCACATATTGTTCTGAGTTTGGCTCTGATTTCTCCTAGTGATGTGTATGTAAAATTTGGCTAAAATTCAAGTCTAATCTGTATACTTTTGAATTATTTTTGAGTTAATAACTATGCTGATAATAGTGTTATTCTAAAAGTTTTGAGAATTGAATGTCATAAATTACTTGCTCTTTAAAAGTCAAGAACCAGCAATGTTGAACCTGACCAAAAGGTAAAACAATCTGCCCTAATCTGTTGTAACATTTGCAAGGGATGTTTCCCAAACCATTAAAGCTGCGTGGGCATGTAAAGTTCTGTTAGTTACTCCTGTTTGTCACTGGGAAAACAGAATCCTTTTTCTCTCTCAGAACTCACAGAGATCCATGAAAATTTAATTTGCTTCTACCTCATGTGTAATTTGGAGAATTAGTCTCAGTAATTCTCCTGAGTCTCATTATGAATGTAAATTTAGGACTCCAGATTTCTAAAATTCTGCTTTGGACAATTTAGATGAGCAATCCCTAATTAATTTGGGAAATTTTAGATAAACAAAAATACTTGCAGTTACATCATTGTTTTAATGTTATTGCTAATAGTGGAACTTTATTATGCTGTGATTTTTTTTTTAACAAGCATATTAAAAGACGTTTTAGTCAATACTCATGTCCACAATCTAGATTCTACCATTTACTTTTCTTAAAAAAGTTTATTTTTATAATAGCTTTGTTGAGATATAATTCATATACCACACACTTTGCCCATTTTTAAGTATATAATTCAGTGGTTCTTAGTATGTTTACAAGTTTGTACAGCCATTGCCACAGTTATTTTTAGAACATTCTTATCACCCTAAAAAGAAACTCTGTACCATTTAGCCATCAGTCCCCATTTTCCTTTAGCCACCGTTCCCTCCCAACCCTAGTCAATCACAAATCTATTTTCTGTCTCTGTAGATTTGTGTGTTGCCTCAGTTTGTTAGGGCTACTATAACAAAATACTATAAACTGGGTGGTTTATGAATAACAGAAATGTATTACAATTCTGTAGGCTGTGAAGTTCAAGATCAGGGCACCAGCAGATTAGGTGTCTGGTGGCGTCCTACTTCCTGGTTCATAAAACTGCTTCTTGGTGTGTCCTCACCTTGGTAGAAAGAACAAGGCAGCTATTTGGGGCCTGTTTTATAAGGGCACTAATCCCATCCATGTGAGCTGTGCCCTTATGATCTAATCACCTCCCAAAGCCTCTACCTTCTAATATCACCACATTGGGGTGATTAGGTTTCAACATATGAATTTTGTGAGGGACACACACATTCAGACCATAGTACCTATT